ATTACCCCCCCCCCCCCCCCAATCTCCCCAATTCCCGAATCCTCCACAATCCTCAAATTCTCAATCTCCCCAATTCCCAAATCCTCCACAATCCTCAAATTCCTAATTCCCAAAAGGCCGGTAACGCACTTGAAACGCCTCGGTGTTTCAGGTATCCATGGGCGACGCCGATTGCTTACCATCAGGTGATCCGTCTGCTCGTTGACCGGCTAATAACATAATAAAATATATATATTTACAATCTCACTGATTGAAAATATATTTTTTTTAATCAACAACACTGATTACAATGTCGTGGTGGCCCGAAGGTTTAAGACGCCCGCTTCTCATGCACGAGAGTGCGGGGTCGAAACCTACCAGTACCAAAGAGATTTAACAGCATATGTCATATAAACATCAATTTAGTTATCTTTCAAATGAGAGCATTTTTTTTGTAAAACGAACATCCTCACTAATATTATAAATCGGAAAGTGAGTTTGTTTGTTTGTTTGTTCCACTTTCACGCCGTAACTACTAAACCTATATATCACATAGGCTACTTTTTATCCTTTTGTGACGCGAGCGTAGCCGCGGGTAAAAGCTAGTTTTATTATAAAGTTAGAGGGTTCGACAATATCACTACATAGTATATAACAAAGTCGCTATCCGCGTCTGTCTGTCCCTATGTATGCTTAGATCTTTAAAACTACGCAACGGATTTTGATGCGGTTTTCTTTAATAGATAGAGTGATTCTTAAGGAAGATTTATTACGTACTTCCTTGGCCGAGTGGTCGCAAGTGCGACTGACGGGCAAGGGGTCTCGGGTTCGATTGCCGGGCCGGGCAAAGTATTACTGGGTTTTAAAAAAATTCTCAGTAGTAGCACGGAGTCTGGAATTGTGCCCGGTATATGGCAATAGACTCACCCCCTATTACATGGGACTCATAATATAAATAGTTAAAAGTGGGTGTTACATTGTACAGTGGCATAATGTGCACCTCTGCCTATGTTATGTTATGTTATGTTTATTATGTATAATGCATGCATATTGCACCCGTGCAAAGCCGGGACGGGTTGCTAGCGAAATATGTATGTATGTAAAATTCCATGTTTTCGCTTCCAATTGTAGATTTTAGAAAGTAAAACAAAAATGTTTAAAATGAGTTCAAGATTTTGAATTCAGGTTTTGTCCGTATCCTGTCAGTATTGATATCGCGGTCATCATATATTGTTGGCACACATTTAGTTTATATTTCTGTATATATAACTGTTTTATTATAAACCTGTTATAATATATTATTGTCTTTATTGATGCTTGATCATATTTGGGTCCCAGAGGTCGGTGGAGAATCTATCGATAACTGATTTTATTGACATGTTTTAACAAAATAAAACAATTGATATAATGGCTGCCAATCCGGCCAATCATATTTTGAATGATTGATTTATTAATTCTATTCATGACAATGACATCAACCACCTATTAATGGTTACTGCTGACCAAAAACCTCTTCTAACACGGGGAAAATTTGAGCATTAATCACCACGCTTGCTCAATGCAGGTTGGCGATTTCAAACTTATAATTAGAAATTATAAGCCCAGATTTCCTCGCGATGTTTTCCTTCGCCGTTTTTTTTTAAGGGGGAAAATCATCGAATGACTGCTCCCGCCTGGGTGAGGCGGAAGGGAGTGTCAGACTCTTACTGACTAAAAACCACCCCGTTCCTACTCCTGCACTTCGAGCCGGAGCCCCGGTTACCCGTTAGGTTCTCCGCGACTCCTTCGCCGTTTAACTTTCAGTAGTGAATAATCTTAGAACACATAAAATAACATCACGCCTTTTATCCCCGAAGGGGTAGGCAGAGGTGCACATTATACCACTGTACAATGTAACACTTTTCACTATTTATGTTACGAGTCCCATGTAATAGGGAAAGAGCCCATTGCCATATACCGGGCACAATTCCAGACTCCGTGCTACTACTGAGAGTATTTAAAAACCCAGTAATACTTTGCCCGTCCCGGGAATCGAACCAGAGACCCCTTGCCCGGCAGTCGCACTTACAACCACTCGGCCAACGAGGCAGTTATTGAATTTTAAAACATCGTAAAATACGTACAGCTACTAAAAATAATTCTTATTAAATACACACCACTATAACTAGACCTGTATGTCCTACTAAACTCTTTCACATCATAGGTCTTACTTTACTGGTGAGTTCCCGAGTTATGAACACTAAGACAATGTCATTCACCTTAAAACGATAACCTTAATGACCTAAATATCTCTAACATCAATAATTACCCTCTGTCTGACCCGGGAATTGAACCCAACACTTCGCATTGGATAGCTACAAGTAACAACTATTTGAGTACCAATTTTCCTATCAGACAAGAAAATTGATTTATCTGACCCGGGATTTGAACTGGTGACCTTAGGTCATTATGACAGTGAGACTTCCTATAGTGGGTACACAAATACTGATCCATCATCATCAACAGTCTATGAGTGCCCGCAGCTGACCAAAGGCATCTTCTCACACGGAGAAGGTTTGAGCATTAATCACCATGCTTGCTCAGTGCGAGTTGGCGATTCAAACTTCATCATCACTACATAGTATAAAACAAAGTCGCTATCCGCCGTCTGTCTGTCCCTATGTATGCTTAGATCTTTAAAACTACGCAACGGATTTTGATGCGGTTTTTTTAATGGATAGAGTGATTCTTAAGGAAGATTTATATGTATAATACATGCATATTGTAACTGTGTGAAACCGGAACAGGTCGCTAGTATAATTAGAAATTATAAGCCTAGGTTTCCTCACGATGTTTTCCTTCACCGTTTGTCAGTGGTGTCTAATAATCTTAGAAAGTACATATAACTCGGAAAAAATCACATTGGTACTTGCCAGGCTTACTCATCTGGTGTTGCTGGGTGTCCATGGGTGCCGCTGATTGCTTACTAATATAATAATTATTTTATAACATAAAACATAACATCACGCCTTTTATCCTCGAAGGGGGAGGCAGAGGTGTGTACATTACGGCACTTAATGCCACTGTACAATGTAACCCCTACTTTTCACTATTTATGTTATGAGTCCCATGTAATAGGGGGTGACCCTATTGCTACCACTTAGACTTTGTTTGAAAAACCCAGTAATACTTTTCCCTACTCGGGATTCGAAGCCGAAACCCCATGCCCGGCATTTGCTGCGAAGCTGCTGAACTTTGATTTTGAACTTTAAGGTAGAATTGGGATGATGACGGGGTTTGAAAATTAAAAATGTAATTAGTACGTAAGTTAGGTAATGAAAAAATATTAAACGCGTATTTTTTTATTTTATCGTATAATAAAACAATACTTAGATAAAACGAATCAAAGTTTAGGAGTGGGGGCTAAAACGTCATTTCTACGTATAAAATGTACATAGAAGTGACGTCACGCGACATTTCAAATCAATATATCGTCGAAAGTATTCGTTTCTGCAAGAAAATAAAAAATACGTGTCTAATGATTTAAAATAATTTACCAGACGGACATTAAAATAAAAATTAGGCATCTACCGTATTTAAACTACCTACCGATTACCACTATTTTAATACGACTATAGATTTTTAACTTAATTATTTTACGGTTAAAGTAGGAATTAGAGCAGCTCGATATGTCTGTACCTTTATGCCTATAGTCAGCTGATCGCAGTGACGTCACGAGTCACGGCACAATAGGACTCAATTGGCAAAGTGGGTCATTCGCCTGCAGTTGACCTCGGGTCGGCCTGACCCTAAGCTAACTATTGTGTCAATAGATATAAAGGTACACATACCTACCTATGTATGTATGTTTGTATGTGTGTATATGTGTATGTATGTCATCTGCACATATGGCTGACTCTTATTAACCGACTTCAAAAAATGTGGTTCTCAGTCTCAGTTCAATCTATAGGTATGTACTAGTTGTGTGAGAGCCATGCTTCGGCACGAATGGGCCGGCTCGACCGGACTGATACCACGGCCTCACAGAAAACCGACGTGAAGCAACGCTTGCGTTGTGTTTCGTCGTGTGAGTGAGGTTACCGGAGGCACAATTACCCTCCCCCAATCTCACCAATCCCTGAATCTCCAACGATCCTCAAACTCCAAATCCCGAAAAGACCGGTAACGCACTTTTTACGCCTCTGGTGTTCCAGTTGTCCTTGGGCGACGCCGATTGCTTACCATCAGGTGATCCTTCTGCTCGTTTACCGGCTTATACCATAAAAAACTGGTATCACTCCGGTCGAGCCGGCCCATTCCTGCCGAAGCATGGCTCTCCCACACTTAAATCCTTAAATCTACCCCTGTTCCAAATCTCATCCCGATCCCTTCAGCCGTTGAGTGATTGAGTTACAAACATACATACAATATAATATTAGTTAGAGTAAGAAGACTGCCTCATTGGCCGAGTGGTCACAAGTGCGACTGCCGGGCAAGGGGTCTCGGTCGGGCAAAGTATTACTGGGTTTTTCATAAAATTCACAGTAGTAGCATAGGCTCACCCCCTATTACATTAGACTCATAACATAAATAGTGAAAAGTGGGTGTTACATTATACAGTGGCATAATATATACCTCTGCCTACCCCTTCGGGGATAAATGGCGTGATGTTATGTTATGTAGTAAGATGAGCTACCTACTTTCATGGATTAAAAGTAATATTTAGAAACATTTTATTTCGACTCTTCAATAGATAAGCGAGGCGCCACTATACATACATACTGTACCTATTATTTATATTCTCTTATTTACACTTTACACTCTTCTGATAGCCCCAAAGATAAAACATAAGAGGTCAGCTTTATCTTATAATTGTTACCAAAATAGTCAGTGACGAGTCAGGGAGCCGACCAGTTCGTTCATTGTTTTGTATGTTCGAAAAATAATAGGTCATAAATTTCATTTAGTTTTCGTTTTTTTCGTGATTTATAAAATAATGCGTGTTTAAATTATTATTATTTTTATTAATCAGTCATCGAGTGATGCGCAGTATTTTTATCGTTTTTGTCAATTCATTAAAGAAGGTAAGGTTTTAGATTTTTTTTTCTTTTTAAATGAGGCATTATTTTTTTTAGACTTTTCAATACAGACAATCAAACGTTTATAATCTCATACGGAGAAGGTTTGAGCATTAATCACCACGCTTGCTCAATATGGGTTGGTGATTTTAAACTGTCAAACACCGCGCGGACACCGGTGACCGCAACCTATTGTTCTTTAATTGTGTCTATAATGACGGTACTCAAAGAGTTAAACTTATAATTAGAAATTCAATGTTTCTGAGTGTGGTAGTTATATTACAATGATTGTATGGGCCAACTGGTCGGCTTGCATAATGAGCAGAAGTAGGACAGTCCGCGGTTCGTTGCCGTATCAGTGTCATTTATAGAGATACAAGTAGCGCCGGCGCCGATGGTAACAAGTCTTCGTGGACTTGAGTTATACGCAGTTTTATTTATCTTACCTACTTAATCTCAATCTTACTAATATTATAAACTAGCTTCTGCCCGCAACTTCGTACGCGTAATCCCATTTTTCCCCGTCCCCGTTCGTGATTTTCGGTAAAAAGTAAAAAAAAGTATTGGTTAAAAAGTATCCTATGTCGGTCTCCTGGCTCTAAGCTACCACCCTACCAATTTCAGCCAAATCTATTCTCCCGTTCTTGAGTTATAAGTGGTGTAACTAACACAACTTTCTTTTATATATATAGACTACCTTCTACCAGCGACTTGGCCCGCGTTGCCGTGGCATAAAAAGTAGCCTATGCGTCATTCCAGACCATTATCTGCCCCTGTCCCAAATCTCATCCGGATCCCTTCATCCGTTTAGACATAATTGAGTAACACACATACACACACATAACGTCACGCCTTTTATCCCCGAAGGGGTAGGCAGAGGTGCACATTACGGCACTTAATGCCCCTGTACAATGTAACGCCCACTTTCCACTATTTATGTTATGAGTCCCATGTAATAGGAGGTGAGTCTATTGCCATATACCGGGCACAATTCCAGACTCCGTGTTACTACTGAATATTTTTAAAATGCAGTAATACTTTGCTCGAATCGGGTAACAAACATACACACAATTAGGTACACAAACTCACCAACTATCGCATTTATAGTAGGTATTAGATTTTTCTACAACTGGAGGTATCATTATGAATATCAAACGAAAGGGTTTGATTTATGGAATAGAAGTCATTATTTATTATAATGTCGTGGTGGCCCGGAGGTTTAAGACGCCAGCTTCTCATGCATGAGAGTGTTCGTTCAAAACCTACCAATGGCAAGTACCAATGTAACTTTTTCCGAGTTACATGTACTTTCTAAGATTATTTAGACACCACTGACGAACGGTGTAGGAAAACATCGCGAGGAAACCTGGGCTGATAAACTTATACTTATATGTACTTATTATATAAAGCGGAAGAGTTTGGCTATAGGCGTCAAGCTTCGAGGATGGCTATAGGCTATAAAACATCACGCAACGACCAATAGGAGCTGAGCAGAGCGTGTGAAACCACGCGGAAGTAAAAGTTTCTAATTATAAGTTTGAAATCGCCAACCCGCATTGAGCAAGCGTGGTGATTAATGCTCAAACCTTCTCCGTGTAAGAAGAGGCCTTTGGTCAGCAGTGGGTACTTATAGACTGTTGATGTGAAGTCTCTAAGTCTACTTCCAAGTGGCTAAAGCATATTATAGTTTGCCTGAGTATCTGAATGAGAAGGATTTTTTTTTTTGTAAGTGCTTGAATTGAAAACTGTGTTCCTAATTTATGGTCTTCTTTTTTTGTTTATGTTTTTTCTTTTTATTGGGTTGTTTGTCTTCAATTGTAACATATTATCCAATGCATTTTACTATGTATATCATTTGCATGCTTAAATGGTAAAATATGGCTGAACCTGTATTTTTATGTCACCTGTAATTGTTACCCATATTTGCAAAATAAAAGTACTTATCTTTATCTTTATCTTTATCCATCATCCATACTAAAATCCATCTAAGATATTATTCAGTTTATATGGTAACTGGACATGGATCATAAAATTCACAGTAGTAGCACGGAGTCTGGAATTGTGTTCGGTATATGGCAATAGGCTCACCCCCTATCACATGGGACTCATAACATATATAGTGAAAAAGTGGGTGTTACATTGTACAGTGGCATAATTTACACCTCTGCCTACCTATTCGGGGATAAAAGGCGTGATGTGGGTTTTTCACCAACTCGACACGAGGAACTGATCACACGTGTGTCCAGTTGGTGAAACTTTAAATTAGCACTAATTATTCTTTCGTCATTTGGACACGCCAAGGTTTTTATGTATGTCCACATAGTGAAAATCAAATTAAGTTACTTTTGTGTTTTCGTCAACTGGACACACGTTCACATTTTACCCGAATGTATAACAAAGTACAGTCACGCAGATAATATTTTTGAATCACAATCATCGTTGTCCTCTAAACGTCCCACCTAGTAATTTCACCGGGTAATTTTGTAATTATTCACCATTTGTGAATTTGTAAAAAATATATTTTTGACACCGAAAGTGTTTGAAAGTCGCTATTACCATGTTACGAGTACTATGCTTGTCAAATCTTCAACATGGAACCTGTTTTATTACAGTCTTTGAGTCTAACTCTAATATAAATATTTGATTGTTACTCATTTGTTTTATTTCAAAATTTGTCTTAAAAACGAAACAATTTTTAACTTAACTGTACCTTTTTTAGAAAAAAAATATAGGTGTGTCCAGTTGACGATAACATAAAAGTAATTAATTTTAATTTTCACTATGTGGACATACATAAAAACCTTGGCGTGTCCAAATGACGAAAGAATAATTAGTGCTAATTTAAAGTTTCACCAACTGGACACACGTGTGATCAGTTCCTCGTGTCGAGTTGGTGAAAAACCCCGTGATGTTATGTTATGTAGTAACTGGACATGCTAGCATTAGTAGAGATACTAAGTATCTAAGCAATCGTAATAAAGACAACAGCTCATCATATTAACTCGTCGAGTACCGGTTTTATAGACACAATTAAAGAACAATAGGTCGCGGTCACCGGTGTCCTCGCGGTGTTTGACAGTTTAAACAAAACAATTAATGTTCTTACAATTACTACAATATCATTTTTATTCCATAAGTGTTAAAGTTGAAATTACTTCGACAAGGTGTAGGCTAGGTATGTACATAAAAATTAAGATGTATTTATGTATGTCGTGACTGACCAGTGTGTACTGATGAACGGTAAAGTGAAGGCCTCAGTGTAATAGTGAGGAGGGTAACTGTGCTTTCTAACGCCACTGGGTCAAGATGTGACCCGCTGGTGCAAGGCTTAAGCGGGAGCGGTTTCAGATTTTGACTGCTTATAGACAACAGATTGCACGGTTGGTGCGGTGGTTGGGCAACCGGCTGTCGCGTATCGTGTCGCGGGTTGGATTCCCGCACGGAGCAACTCTTTGTGTGATCCACTGATTGTTGTTCCGGGTCTGTGTGTCATGTGTATGTGAACTTGTATGTTTGTATACGCACACACGGACACAGGAGAAAATCCTAGTGTGGGGTAACGTTTTTTTAATACAAAAAAAAACTATTGGAAATAAACCCTTCGATAATGTGATTAAAAGCGTTCTTAACACGTTAAGTCATCGGTGACCGGCGTTAGCGGAGGATTTACCTTCAACAGTTTTTTTATTGGCAGTCAAAGTCTTAATTTAACCTATTTAAAAAATTCGTCGTGTATATACTATACTACCGTCACCTAAGTGTAACACTTTTCTGAAAACCGCAACAAAATCGGTTCAGCCAATCGCGAGTTAATCACGCACAAACATACATACAGGTCAATTAAAAATTAACATAACATAACATCACGCCTTTTATCCCCGAAGGGATAGGCAGAGGTGCACATTATACCACTGTACAATGCAACACTCACTTTTCACTATTTATGTTATGAGTCCCATGTAATAGTGGGTGAGCCTATTGCCATATACCGGGCACAATTCCGGACTCCGTGCTACTACTGAGATTATTTAAAAACCCAGTAATACTTTGCCCGACCCGGGAATCGAACCCGAGACCCCTTGTCCGGCAATCGCACTTACGACCACTCGGCCAACGAGGTAGTCAGTTAAAAATTAATTTTATTTTTTTAATAACAAATTCATTTACTTTCGCTTATAACTTACACCACACACACGTCAAGCCACATCTATTGTCAACACTAACTCACCACTCTCCTAGCGACTTTCTCCGTAACTAATATATGTACATACATGTATACAGTATGTCTATCTGTATACAAAACACCGCTAGGCACACTGCATTGTGACACTTTCTGAATAATTCCTGTTTTGACAACGGTTTTCGCAGTCCTTAGATGGCGCTACAAGCGTTTATTGTTACCGTGTAAATGCGTTAAACGTGTATCTTATTTTTCATGTTATTGTCATGGTAACTGGACTTCTATAAAATTCAAGATTACAAATGACATTAACAATAACTTCAACGCACTGTACTGTAGATCCTGGCTTACAGGAGTTGCAGCGGTTTTGGGAGGTTGTGGCGGGCTTGTCCCATAAAAAAAACTCCAACACAACGCAAGCGTGGTTTCATCGTGTGAGTGAGGTTACCGGAGGCCCAGTTACCCCATCTCAATCTCCTAAATCGTTAAATCCCTAACGGAACGCACTTGTAACGCCTCTGGTGTTCAAAGTGTCCATGGACGATGCCGATTGCTTACCATCAGGTGATCCGTCTACTCGTTTACCGGCTTATCTCATAAAAAAACTAATCAAAAGTGGTTCGACAAACAGTTTGTGATGTATCTTGCTTGTTCGAGACTTTATTTTTTGTTTGTTTTTTTTAAGGGGGGATAATAATCGAATAACACTCCCTCCCGCCTGGGTGAGGCGGGAGGCAATGTCAGACTCTTATTTTGCCACGTCGGGATTTTGAAACATTTTGTATGAAAAAAGCGGGATTTTATTTTCTAAAGCGAGACATAGTAAAAGACGTGTAACATATAAAAAACGTTTTTTTATGGAATAGGAGGCAAACGAGCATCTTCAGTTGAGTCTTCTTAACTTTCGGAAAAAGAGAAAAAAGGCATGTACGGTCTATTTATCTCGAAACCTGTCCCGCACGGGACATAATTTTGATTTATATATATTTTATTTTAAACGTTGCCCCACACTAGGATTTTCTCCTGTGTCGTGGGTGCGTTTACAAACATACAAGTTCACATACACAATGACACCCAGACCCGAAACAACAATTTGTGGATCACACAAAGTGCTGTCCCGTGCGGGAATCGAACCCGCGTCACGTTGCACGGCAACCGGTTGCCCAGTCACCGTACCAACCAAGCAGAAATCGGGGCGTCTGTCCCGCCAAAATCGGGACGTCTGGCAACGCTGCTCAACATCTTCATAAATTAAAATGTATGACGTTGTATTATTACGTCATACTTATAATAGTTTTTGATATTGGTTAGATTACACTAAATTAACCTTCTCCGTATGAGAAGGGGCCTTGGGTAAGCAGTGGCTGTTGATGAAGATGGGTATAGTATTAGTTACATTGCAAAATTTATTTTTTTCCTTAAAGTCTGCGGTTAACCATAACATACCTGACATTTTCAATGTGATAAGTACTTGAATAATCAAATTACATAAACACATACATAATATGATTCGTACATATCAAGTTTTATGTAACCAGTATAAACTGACCGTCGAGTGTACGGAAAAATAATACAATGCTAGACCACGATATATTGGTTTTATAGTTCCACGAGTAGCTACCAAAGTGCAAGTGGCAAGAAATCAAGATCCTTTAATAGATTTTCAAATTTAACAATTTGTAATAGAGGTGAAAATTGATTGAACAAGTGTTGCAACATCATTACATGTAGATTTTTATGTTTAAAGAAACAAATTGATTGATTACACAGTCAACCAATTTATTTCTTTAAACCTAGGAAATAAACTTCAGCTATAAGACCACCACGAATGGGGACCAATAGGGCTGATGCTGATACGGATCCGCGAAGGTCTTAACGGGTAACCGGGGCTCCGGCTCGACGCGCAGGAGAAGGAACGGGGTGGTTTTTAGTCAGTAAGAGTCTGACACTCCCTCCCGCCTCACCCAGGCGGAGGCAGTCATTCGACGATTTTCCCCCCTAAAAAAAAAGTACCTTATATATAAATCCTTACTAATATTATATATCGGAAGGTGAGTTTGTTTGTTTGTTTGTTTATTCCACTTTCACGCCGTAACTACTGAACCGAATGCTTTGAATTTTTGCAGACGTGAAGTTAGAAGTCGGGATTAAATAATAGGGTACCTACTTTTTATCACGGAAAAATTTGATATTCTCGAGGGAAAACGAAATTATTGGTATAGATGTCGCTGTGTGTATTGGTATATGTCACATAGGCTACTTTTTATCCTTTTGTGACGAGAGCTAAACCGCGGGTAAAAGCTATTTTATATATATATATATGTTATATAATATATTTATGTATATAAATATTTTGTACGAGAATCAAATACTGTGTAACACATCAGCCTGTAGTTAAATGATTGCGTGAGCTACCTGAGCTACATTTCAAGCGAAACAATGAATCGTGGGAACCATTATATACTGAGGTACCTACCCAGATGTAATGTGCAAGTACATAAGGCATTATGTAATTAGGTATGTCATGGAGGCCCGGAGGTTTAAAACGCCAGATTCTCATATATGAGAGTGCGTTCGAAAAAAAACACAAAAAATCAACGTAACATTCACATTTCCGAACAAAGCGTAAGAAAGGAGAACAATGCAGTTTTACAAATACAAACATACATACATACATGCATAATGTAATGTGTATGTACAGAGTGTTAACGAACTATGTAATCAAAGCCACGAGGCTATAATAGTTCATAACACCGTGTGGTAACGGCAGAGTAGAACATTTGAGTCACCACCCCTACTCTTCACCTGGGTGTCATATACCCGACTAAGGAACTTAGCAGAGATTCAACAGCAGCGCTCTCTGTCAAAGTCAAAGTCAATATCATTTATTACAATTAGACTAGAAAGAGACTTTTAAACGTCAACAAAAAATTCACGATCACATGACATCACTCCTTTTATCTCCGAAGGGGTAGGCAGAGGTGTACATTATGCCACTGTACAATGTAACACTCACTTTTCACTATTTATGTTACGAGTCCTATGTAATAGGGGGTGAGCCTATTGATGTATACCGGGCACAATTCCAGACATTTCCTTTTTTAAACTGTCAAACACCAAGCGGTCACCGGTGACCGCGACCTATTGTTCTTTAATTGTGTCTATAAAACCGGTACTCGACGAGTTAATATAATGTTGTTTGTTTTGTTACAGAATAAAATGAGGACTCTAGCAGTGTTGTGTCTGTTGGCGCTGGTCTACGGAGCTGTCGCCAAGAACAAGAAGGGAGATGACCATAAGGTACTACTAACACACATGACTGCCTCGTTGGCCTACTTTTGAACTTTTGAACATACTTTTCAAAAAGAGCAACGAATGGAGTTTCTTGCTCGTTCTTCTCCATTCGAATCTATATTTTGGAATGAGCACCTAGCTTCACCTAGTTTCACTGACGGACTGACTGACAGACTATTATTTATTTTGTATTTGTTGACGTTTCAAAAGTACCTAACTATGGTTTAATTGAAATAAATGCTTTGACTTTGGCCGAGTGGTCGCAAGTACGACTGCCAGGCAAGTGGTCTCGGGTTCAATTCCCGGGTCGGGCAAAGTATTACTGGAGTTTTCTTCAATAGTAGCACGGAGTCTGGAAATGTGCCCGGTATATGGCAATAGACTCACCCTCTATTACATGGAACTCATAACATAAATAGTGAAAAGTAGGTGTTACATTGTACAGTGGCATTAAGTGCCGTAATGTGCACCTCTGCCTACCTCTTCGGGGATAAAAGGCGTGATGTTATGTTATGAACAGTCCAAATAATTTGTTTACGATTAAGAAAAGTACTCAATTATTTAAACTAGTAGTAGTATTCTGTGCTAGTAGCCCATCCCGAAGTATTTCATAGGTATTACTACCAAAGTTGCCCAGTAAAAAAAAAATTATGTCTAAAACAAAATGCTTTGTTTACCAGGTGAAGATTGCAGTGTACTACGAGTCCCTCTGCCCTGACAGCAAGAGGTTCATCACCAGGCAGCTGGCACCGGTCTGGAGGGACTTCCGAGGAGTTGTGAAAGTCAAGATGGTGCCATACGGCAAGAGCACGGTGCGTATTAGCCATTTACAGCTTGTCAAAAAAGAATATGACGTGGTGACAGCTTTTTTTTTTTTTTTTTTTTGAGGGGGGAAAATCATCCAATGACTTCTCCTGCCTGGGTGAGGCGGGAGGGAGTGTCAGACTCTTACTGACTAAAAACCACCCCGTTCCTACACCTGCACTTCGAACCGGAGCCCCGGCAACCCGTTAAGTCTTCCGCGGCTCCGTATCGGCATCAGCCTTGTTAGGCCCCATCTGTGGTGGTCTGATGGCTCCTTGAGGCGCGCGCGGAACGCGACGCGCCGTACGCACGGGCCTGGTTCTGGTCGGGCGGCGAGTCACCCATGCTCGCCGTCCGCAGACCCGTGCTTACGGTGGCCGGAGATCGTCTCGCGATCCCCGACGCCCGGAGTGTCTCTCGCGACGGCCGGGTCGTGAGGAGGTTCGTTCCCTCACGCGCTCCGCCTCCTCCTTAGCTAGCATGACTGCTTCGCAGAAGGAGGAGACGGCATCCCAGTCCCCCTCGCTCCGTACCATGGTCTGAACCAGAGCCGGACGCGAGAGGTCGCCGTCGCCGATCACATTCCTGAGGACACGGCGGTGCTCAGTCCACGCAGGACACACCGCCACCGTATGCTCCACCGTGTCCTCCGGGCGATCCTCGCAGTGATGACACCCGGGCGTTTCCTCCCGCCCAATCCGAAACAGGAACCTACCGAAACTTCCGTGTCCGGTAAGCACCTGCGTCAGGCGGTAGGTGAGGACGCCGTAGCGTCTCTCAAGCCACTCCTCAAAGAGGGGACTTACCGCTGCAATGACAGCGAGCCCAGCCTTCGGTTGCGACAGTCGTTGCTGCCATTCCGCCATGAGATCACGCCGGAGCTCATCCCGCCACGCATTAATCTGGCGCGGCAGCGGAGTTTCGCCCCGGCGACGTGCCTCCGCGCGCAAACAAAACACGCGCGCGAGCACCTTCGCCTCCAGATCCCACGGCGGTAATCCGGCAAGGAGGTTCGCCGCCTCCCCGGAGATCGTGCGATATCCGCGTATCAATCGGATCGCCATGACCCTCTGTGATGTGAGCAGCGCCCGAGCGGGCCGCCGCATCAGGTTCGGCGCCCACACAGGGGCGCCGTAGAGGGCCATGGACCGCACGACCCCGGCGTATAACCTCCGGCAGGAGGCGTTTGGCCCCCCGAGGTTGGGTAGGAGGCGCTTAAGCGCCGCCCCCGTCCTTTCCAACTTAGGAGCCAAACGTCGGAAATGCTCCACGAAGTTCCACCGACTGTCGAGGACGAGTCCTAGATACTTCATCGTCGTCTCGACGCCGATGGTAACTCCTCCCGCCGTTAATTGGGACTCACCCGGAGGTGGCGCGTTCCCGCGGCCATGAAAACACATGGCTTCGGATTTGTGGAGCGCCACCTCGAGTCCCAGTTGCCGGATTCTTTCAACGACTGTCGTAACCGCTCTCGCCGTTAAATTAGCCGCCGCCTGATGCGACCTCCCGTGTGCTAACACTAGTGTGTCGTCAGCGTAACAGACCACGCTGACGTTGTTCGGGAGGTCGGTGCGCAGCACCCAGTCATAGCCGATGTTCCACAGGAGCGGCCCCAAAACCGAACCCTGTGGAACACCGCGCGACGTCTCTCGCCGGTTCCACTCACCTCGGTGACCGGGGTAAATGACGGACCGTTCCGTCAGGTATGCCTCGATTACACGACGGAGATAGGTGGGCACCCGATGATATCGAAGTGCCTCCAAAATGCAGCTCCAGGGCAGGGAGTTGAAGGCATTGGCGATGTCCAAGGACACCGCCACTACGACCTTACCTCTGGACACTGCAGTCCCCGTCGTGAGGTCTCTTACACGCATGATGGCGTCCACCGTGGAACGCCCTCTGCGAAAGCCGAACTGGCCGTCCGACAGGTCCGGCCCAACATCCGACAGGTGCGCGACGAGGCGGTTCGAAATGATCCTTTCGAAAACTTTTCCCACCTCGTCGAGCAACACGATGGGCCGGTACGCGGACGGAGAGTCCGCAGGGCGCCCCGGCTTCTTCACTAGGACCAATTTACCCGCCTTCCACAATAGCGGGAACTGGCCCCTCTCCAAGCATGCGCTGTAGAGACCAATTAATCGAGGCTCGAGAGCCTCCGAGGCCAGGACCCACGCCTTGCCGTGCAGTCCGTCGGGTCCCGGGGCGGTGTTTTTGGCGCCCATCCGGCGCACCGCCGCTCTCAACTCGGCCTCGGTCACCTCCGAAACTGTGTCGTCGTCGTCTTCGCTGTGGCCCACATAGGGCACCGCAGGGGGCGGAGTCATGGACGGAGGGGTGAAACCCCTCTGTAGTCGGGGGAACAAGGTGCCGACCACCTCCTCCACTACCTCTGGCCGGAGACTCTGAGTCAGCGGGGGAGCCCATGTGCGGAGCTTATCCCGCACCATCCGATAGGGGCGTCCCCACGGGTCTCTGTTCAGAGTCTCCAAGAACTCCTGGAGGGCATTCTCTTTGGCCCGCCGTATCTCCGCTTTCAGGGCGGCCTTCGCCGCCTTGTACCCCTCGTACAACTCCGCCTCTCTGACCTCTGCGTCCTGAGGACGGATGCGAAGCCTGCGGTGCCTGGTGTACCGGCGTCGCGCAGCAGTGCATGCACTGCGTAGAGCAGCCAGCTCTTGCGACCACCAGTACGTCTGGCGCTTGCGCTGACCTGGCCGGACCCGGGGCATCGCCACGTCACAGATTCTGGACATGGCGTCCTGGAGCCACCTCGCCTCCTCATCGATGTCGGCAGGCCTGTCCGGTGGTATCACCCAGGCCTGCACGATTGCGGCTTCAAGGAATAGCTCCCGGTCCAGCTGTCTCAGCGCCCAACGCGGGCCACATGGGGCCTGTCTGACCAGCGGGTCCGCGGACTCGGTGGAGACGTTAAACCGGATATACCGGTGGTCGGAGTACGTTTCCACCTCCTCCATGACGCGCCAGTCAACAACACGCGGTGACAGAGCAGGGCTAGCGAACGAAATGTCCACCACCGACTCGCCCTGCATCCGCACGCACGTGGGGACAGAACCCCGGTTCAGGACGACTAGGCCTGCCTCAAGGGCCCAGTCTTCCACCATCCTACCCCGAACGTCAGTAAACCGGGAACCCCAAGCCAAGTTCTTGGCATTGAAGTCCCCGAGGACGAGCACGGGGAGGGAACGGAACCCGACAACGACGGCGACCAACTCCCTCAGGGAGTTGTGGAACTCGGCGAGAGTTCGGTTCGGAGAGAAATACACGCCCACCACAGCGATCTCTCCGAACCGTGCTGCGACACAACCCCGGCCTCTCTGAACGGCCTCGAGAGTCGGGGTTCCGGCGGCGGCTGACGAGATGATGGTCACCGAGCCGTCCAAGTCTGCCACCCAGTGATCCCTGGGCGGGACAAAATACGGCTCGGAGACCACAGCGACATTTATTGACCACTGCGCCATGCTCTGAAGCAGGAGATCCTGAGCGGCGGCGCAGTGGTTGATGTTCGCCTGAAGGAGGCGGAATGGAGCTATTATTGGCAATCCATCCCAGCCTCTTCCCTGACGGCATTACAGCCAGTGGTGGCCGCGGCGACGGTAGCAGTGGCGACTGCAGCGGCGGCGGCGGGACTGACGGGGGCAGCGGAGGGCCTACTCTTGCCCCTGGATTTGGCAGGAGGGGAGCAGGCCTTGCTCCCGACCCGGTGATTGGCCGGCTTACCAACCGCCGCACATGCGTGACAGTGCAGCGGGGCAGAGCACGAGCCGGCTCTGTGACCGGGCTGACCGCAACGGAAGCAGCAGTCACTGCGGTCAACCTCCGAGGTGCACCTAGCGCTCACGTGGTCACCTACGTGGCAGCGGTAGCACCTTATAGGTCGGACCTCGAGCAGTTTGACCTGCGCCGAGACCCAGCCTACCAGGAGCCTTCGACCCTCCTTTATTTTCTTGGCCGCTGAGACGGGGCAGCTCACTACAACCGTTCGCAACCCCGAATTATCTGCACGGATGGTGCCGGCCTTAACTTGCTCGGCAGGACACTCACCCGTCCTGGCCACCGCGGCCACGACCTCCTCCTCCGTCACGGAGTCGTCCAGGCCCATTATACGTAACTCCAGGCACTTGGTTGGCCTTGACACGCGAGCCTCGTCTGCACCAAGGCACACTCTGAGCCTTTCGGCTAGAGCGTCAGCGGTTGGACCGCTGGTCGCGCCGGGGACCTCTAGTAAACGGGCTCCAGTCGCCGTCACTTTCAAAGAGAACCCGTTAGGGGCCCCGTACTCCGCGGGAGTTACCGCCCGCTTCAGTTTGGCGAGGATGTCGCCATATGTCACGCCTCTTTTGACCGCGTCCGGCTGTAGAGTTATCACTACAGCCGCGGTTTTAGGGGCGACAAGCATTGCCGCAGCGCGCTTTTCCTTGCGCCGCTGCCGCTGCCTCTGCCGCTGCTCCTTTTTTCGGCGCTTTCGCCCTTGCTTGGCGACCCTCCTCGCCTCTCCGACCACCTGCCATCCGCCGTCGCTGGCAGGGACACCCGAAGTTCGGGTAGGCTCCACAGCTGGGGCAGTAGACGGCCCAGCCACGGCGCTCCCTCGCCTACGAACTGTTGACGCCCTCACCACCGGTTCAGCTGGAGCCTGCGCCGGCGAAGCCGCCGGCGGTTGGGCCCGGACACCGCGGCTGGACCGACCAGGAGTAGTCGGCATAGCTGCCGCAGCCGCAAATGTGCGCGGTGCTGCTTGACTCCCTGCGAGTGGGGGGCGGAGGATCCTGCTCTCCAGCACGTCAAAACGCTGCTGGAACGCAGCCATCTCCCGCCGCACCAGGCCGATTATGTCGGCCTCCACTGGCTGCGAGGCTCGGGGTCGACCCTCACGAGCAGCGGCGAGCTCGGCCTTGGCTGATCGAAGCTCGGCCTCCATAGCCGCATTGGAGGCTGTCAGCCGGATCATTTCTCGGCGCATCTCCCCCAGCTCTTTTTGCAAGGCGGCCATCTGCTGCCCTGCCGCTGAAGGCAGCCCACACTGTCGAGCTGCTTTCATAATGGCTGCCTTCGCTTGCCTTAACACTCCGTTTCGGCCCTTCTCGGACTTCTGCCCAGCCACCGTCCGGAGTGTTTCTTTGACCACCTTGGAAAGTTCACCATTTATGGCACCAAGGTCGCCTACCGAGCCCTCGCCGCCAGATTCTGATGAGTCAGCTTCAGCTGACTCGGCCCGAGTAGCGGCCATCGGCCTCTCGCAGCCCTTTCTTCGACCCCTACCCCGCGCAGCCGTAGGGATCTTAGGGGCTGGAGCCTCCTGCTCGTTGGAGGACGGATCCCGGCCCTCCTTCAACCTGGGACGTTTAAACGTCCCCTTTTTTTGGCGCTGTGAACTCAAGCTACGCAATGAGTAAGCGCCAGATGCGGAAGAGTAGTCAGACTCTGCTTCCGACATCCTCCGACTTAATGCCCGTGTGAGGGATTTGCTGGACGACTCCAACGCTTCCCCACGGGTTCCAGAGCCACCCTGGCTCTCCCCGCCAACAGCAAGCGAACTAAGCTCGCTTGCCCTCTCCTCCTCCGGTGTTTTATTTTTATTTTTATTATTAGACTCCATACAATTCCCACGAGTATGGGGGAAATAAACGGTCCGCCCAGGCAGTGCCCCCTGTACCTGGGTAAGTGTATATTTGTTTCCCAACTAGAGGGTCCACCGGTGCTCTAGCTGGGGGTGCGCTCACGACTGACACTACTCCTCAGCCATGCATACCCTCGCCGCGCACCAGAACTTGGTATTGGAGGAATTTTTTATAGAGGTTATCTTCCTCGCGGTCCGGGCAACCAAGCCAAGACCCTCGTCCCGTTCTGAGTCATGAGACATCCATGATCTCTTCTCGGGTTACGATTTCGACGGTTGCAGTCGAGGACTCATGTGCCCCGATGCTGCTCGTTGGCAGGGTGAGTGCGCAACGAGCACCGCCCTTGCCTCTCCGCCACGTTCTCTGCTAAGTTCAGAGAGACGGGCGGAAAAACATCCCCTCGGAAGCACAGGCTATATATCAGCACACAGCCCGCCGCCTCCAGAACCCATCCTGGGTTCGTCCGCCCCGTCCAGAAGTTAGCTACAGGCAATAGCCACTCCAACCCTATCACTCCCGTTAGGGAAACTATCACCTGTACCCAGGGTGCACCACGGGGAGGTCTTCTGGCACCGCACCCCGACGTGGTGACAGCTGGAACTCATATTGATTTGGACTGAATCAGCGACTGCCTCGTTGGCCGAGTGGTCGCAATTGCGACTACCGGGCAAGGGGTCTCGGGTTTGATTCCCGGGTCGGGCAAAGTACTACTGGGTTTTAAAAAAAAATCTCAGTAGTAGCACGGAGTCTGGAATTGTGTCCGGTATATGGCAATTGGCTCACCCCCTATTACATGGGACTCAAAACATAATAGTGAAAAGTGGGTGTTACATTGTACAGTGGTATAATGCGCACCTCTGCCTACCCCTTCGAGGATAAAAGCCGTGATCTTATGTTATGTGAATCAGCCACTTCGGCCCAATAGGTAAAAATCTAATTAGTCCGTCAGTTAGGTAATGAAAAAGTATAAGACACGTATTTTTTTACTTTGTCGTATAATAAAATGATACTTAGATATACAAGGTGTAGTTTTAAAACCGTGTCATTTCTCGGGGGCATGTCAAATAAGGTTCAAATAAGAGAAAATTTCTGGACAATAGAGGTAGTTAAAAATACGGCTATAATAAATCGTTTAAGTTCGACAGTATTTCAGAATAAGCGACAGCAATGTTTCTTATTGGAGTTTTATGGAATTAGGAGTAATATCAGTTACGTGTTTGAGTTTGTGTGTGTTAAGCCGCGTTATAAAGCTAGTTATAAGACGGCGGTGTGTATTTCGCACTTACGGATTTCCGTAATTTCAGAAAAATTAAAAATATTTGCCCACAATTATTTTTATTGATTCGGACTCAGAATCGATGTCCGAGTTACCTCCTAGAAAATGACGCGGCTTTAAAACAACACCTTGTATAACGAATCAAATTTTAGGAGTGGGGGCTAAAACGTCATTTCTACGTATAAAGAAGTGACGTCACGCGACATTTCAAATCAATATATCATCGAAACTATTCGTTTTATGTAAAAAAATGAAAAATACGTGTGTAATGTTTTTAAATAATCTACCAGACGGGCATTAAAATAAAAATTAGGCATCTACCCTATTGCTGACAACATCAGACTTGTGAACGGGTGCCTTCTACTGGGTCAGGTCGGCTCTTCTATCTTGTTGGTGGGCTGATTTCGCAGAGCCGTCAAAATAGATTTAAATGAGTAATAACTAATTATAATGTAATTTATTCTTTTATTTTAGTAATAATTATAGATGTGGTTAATTGTAGTTTGTAACTAGGTACCTACTTTACTTTATAAATCTATACATATAAAAGAAAGTCGTGTTAGTTACACCACTTTATAACTCAAGAACGGCAGAATAGATTTGGCTGAAAATTGGTAGGGAGGTAGCTTAGAGCCAGGAGACCGACATAGGATACTTTTTAACCAATTTTTTTATTTACTTTTTTCCGAAAATCACGAACGGGGACGAGAAAAAATGGGATGGTACGCGTACGAAGTCGCGGGCAGAAGCTAGTATTGATTAGACGTACGTATTGTATTAAAAAATTGGATGACAAGGGCATGGACCAAGAGACCGTGGAGAATTAAATATAACATTAAAAAAAACATAATTATTAAATTATTTAATGCAACGACCTTGCTTTTTACCTACTGTAATACATCAAAACATAATTATTATTTAAATATAAAACTTTACAAATAATCGTATCATTAATTCTTAAGAACTCTTTGTCTAGGTAATAAATAAATCATTAAATAATTCATTAGTTTTTTCTTCTATCAATAAAACCAGGGCGAGGCCCTGTCTTGCACATTTTGAACTGGGTGCTTACTCTTGAAACCAATCACAAAGTCAATGCAATTTCAATCCAATAGTCTCAATAATTATTCAATGTCAAAGCTATCTGGAAATGTACCCGGTATATGGCAATAGACTCACCCCCTATTACATGGGACTGATAACATAAATAGTGAAAAGTGGGTGTTACTTCTGTGTGCACCTCTGCCTAACCCTTCGGGGATAAAAGGCGTGATGTTATGTTATGTATTTATTCAATATGGTCTACTTACTTCAAGGAATCCATTGTAAATGGCATAATTCTGATTATTTCATTCAAATGTGTCTAATTTTTGTTTGCAGCACGATAAAGTGGACGGAAAATGGCAGTTCCAATGTCACCATGGACCTGATGAATGCTACGGTAACAAGGTTAGTAATACACAATCATCAATAGCTTGTAACAGTCCACTGCTGCACTATGAGTCTCCTCTACATAAGAGGAGTTTGCCATAATCTCCGCAGGCAGGCGGGTTGGAGATCGCAGTATAAAAGGTTCAGGTTTATCAGAGAGCGCTGCTGCACGGTCTCTGACTAATATGTAGTGCCTTAGTCGGGTATACGACACCCGCGTGAAGGGTACGCTGGTGAGACAAATGTTTGCAATTCGCGTCAGTACACGAAAAAAATTCGAAGTAGCTACAACTGGTAGGTTCCAGTTAGAAATAAATTATTTAGAGTTATCTATTAGATATATTAGTTAGCATACTTTAAAGTAATTAAAATAGACTTTCACTGATAGATTACAATAATATATTGGTACTAATATACTGTGGAATGAAATGTTGTAAGTGATGACTATTTCTGAACCAAATACGATCTTCAAACCTTCGAAACAAAAGCGTACACCTTCTGTGCAAAGCAGTCATGTTAGCTAAGGAGGAGGCGGGGTGCATGAGGCAGCGAAGCGATGTCTCCTCACAACCCAGCCATCGCGAAGGACACTCCGGGCGTCGGGGATCGCGGGACGATATCCGGCCACCATAAGCGCGGGCCTGCGGACGGCGAGCACGGGTGGCACTCCCGTCCGACCTGGGGGCTTACTCTTGAATCCAATTCCGATCGATCGACATTGGTATTGTGAAATTTCGTACTCTTGAGTTGCAATACTAGAGCCCATTGCATCCGTATTGCGTAGATATTGAATGAACTAAATGGTATTGAGTTTGTCTTTATATTCCGTACTCTGAATGCTATTGTAACAGCTAAGATTGTGGTTGTATAGTGTTGACATTTAATAATTATTGAGATCATATTGGATTGAAATTGCATTGACATTGAGATTGGTTTCAAGAGTAAGCGCCCAGAACCAGACTCAAACATACGACGCGTCGCATTCCGCGCGCGCCTCAAAGAACCATCAGAGCACCACATATGGGGCCTAATAGGGTTGATACTGACACGAAGTCGCAGAGGACTTGACGGGTTGCCGAGGCACCGGCTCGAAGGGCAGAAGTAGGAACGGGATGGTTTTTAGTCAGCAAGAGGCTGACACTCTCTCGCCTCTCTCTCAAAAGGAGGAGACGGCATCTCAGTCCCCCTCGCTCCGCATCATGGCCTGCACTAGGCCCGGACGCGAGAGGTCGCCATCGCCGATCACTTCCCTGAGGGCACGGCGATACTCAGCCCATGCAGGGCATTCCGCTACAGTGTGTTCCACCGTGTTCTCAAAGAAAGTAGCCTATGTGTTAATTTAGACCTGTCATACCGATCCCTTCAGGCGATTTCACGTAAAGGAGTATCAAACAAACATAGCATACTTTTAGCATAGGCATGTTGTCAGCGTCTCTTTTCTAATTCTTCTGTTTCAATTTTTCAACTCTTATATTTTTATTACTTCCACTGTCACATCTTGATTGTCTTTTTTTTTATTTATGCTGCATCGTGCCTGGTGCTAAATAAATGTTTTTTCTTTCTTTCTTTCTTTCTTTCAAACAGAAAACCGACGTGGAACAACGTTTGCGTTGTGTTTTGTCGTGTGAGTGAGGTTACGAGAGGCCCAATTACCTCCTCTCCCTTAACCAATCCCTTAATCACCAACAATTGTCAAATTTGTTATCCCCAAAAGGCCAGTAACGCACTCGTAACGCCTCTGGTGTTCCGTGTGTCCATGGGCGACGCCGATTGCTTACCATCAGGTGATCCGTCTGCTCGTTGCCCAGGTCATCCCATAAAAAAAATACAAACATATAAACTGTCGTATTTAAATTTTAATATTAATGATTCTGCCGTGAGCACACGGTAAACATATGGATTATATTACAATATTCAACAAGCAATGTGGTTTAAATCATAAACAGAGCTAAGTATCAAATGACTGACGCTCACTGCGTCGTTGCTTCATACAGCTAATGATTTTATCTGATCCCAGCAATGATTCAACGCACGCGAGACCTTATATAGCTCTTGTGTAATAAAGGTACCAACTAGACTAGTACATGGTCATACATGTAACTACAACTGGGTTTATTAAAACTACTAGCTGTTACCCGCGACTTCGTTCGCGTGAAATAATCTTTTTTGACGCGACAACGTGTTGATTGGCGAGGGTTATTTGAGAGCTAGTATGAAACGGAACATGATGATGATGGATGTAAACCAAAGAATAAGATTGCTGAAGTGGAACTGGGCAGGACATCTGTGCAGATTAGAGTGTACGAGATGGACAAAGCGGGTGACGGAATGGATTCCATTAGACGGTAAAAGAAAGCAAGGGAGGCAAAGAAAGAGATGGCGAGATATTTTTACCCAACGTTGTGGACCAGACTGGATGCACAAAGCGCGCAACAGGAAAGAGTGGAGCGATTTAGGGGAGGCCTACGCCGTAGAGGCGACCGCTATGAATAGCGAAGATAAACCAGAGTAGAAGAAACAGGTTAAAAGGAACGGATTTACATAAACAGCTTAAGAGGAAGAACATAACATTATTAGCATTTGTTTACTTTGAAATGATTTAAATCTAAATAAGTTTTGTCTAAAACATTGTAATTAGTGGAATAAAGGGCATTTTTTTTTATTTCATTTTATTTATGAAACGGAACGTTTATTGTCTACTCAAGATGGCGACTGCGGTTTGTCTGTCAATGTCAATAAAATGAATTAATAAAACGAAATAATCTCCGTAATCCGAATTTTGCGGATATATGTTATCGACTCGAAATATATATTTTTTTATGTTTTGTTATTCAGGTAATGTTTCGATCGAGTCTACCGTACCTACCCCTTGACGAAATTATTACCTAAAAATATAGAAATATAGACTATCGCATAGTAAAATATGAAATTATCATGATGCGGGTAAATAAAAGAAAATAGGGGATTTTTAAACATACTAAATCACTATCACTTCACTACATAGTATAAAACAAAGTCGCTATTCGCCGTCTGTCTGTCCCTATGTATGCTTAGATCAAGATTATTGTCTGTAAACACACTAGATTAGGAACATACTATAAAAATTGTATATTATGTTTGTACAGACACAATGTGGCGCACTACCATAATATTATCTACCATCTATTGTAACATACCTACATTGACGAAATAAATAATATTTGTATTTGTATTTGATCTTTAAAACTACGCAACATATTTTGATGCGTTTTTTTAACAGATAGAGTGATTCTTATGGATGGTTTACATGCATATTGCACCCGTGCCTAGCCAGGGCGTTTTTTAATTCCGTGAAGAGGACGACCAGGGCCTTTAGCCAAACGCCACTTTAGCGCTCGTCTACAGAGAGAGTAGAAATCAAAATGTATGGGGATGACACTGACAAGTGTCCAAATTTACGTCAATTCCATATAATTTAGTTTTCTACTCTACATGTAGACAAGCGCTAAATGGCATTTGGCTACAACTGCAGGCTAGTTGAGATGATAAAGCCTCGTTAGTTTGTTGGGAATTTCCTAATTATCATTTGCACAACGTAACTTCCTTTTTCTTTGACCAAATGGTATATGGAGCGCCATCTGTTATATTAACCCCGAACTATCATTATTCCATGTAAATGCCAGTTGCCACAATATAAAATATGCTCTATCTCCTTTACAGATCCAGGCTTGTATCCTGAAGGACCGCAGTCTCCAGGACACGGAGAAGATGGAACTGGTCATCTGCCTCATGAACCAAGCCAGCCCCGACAAGTCTCTGGATACGGTAAGATGCATTTTAATACTATTGTGTAGTTAAGTATCGTAATTGTTTATAATAACTATCGTAAGACCCTGAATTAGTCGCGGAGAACCTAACGGGTTACCGGGGCTCTGGCTCGACGTGCAGGAGAAGACACGGTGTGGTTTTGAGTCAGTAAGAGTCTGACACTCCCTCTCGCCTCACCTAGGCGGGAGCAGTCATTCGATGATTTTCTAACCTTAAAAAAAGCCCCCACTCCTAAACTATGATTTGTTTTATTTATGTATTGTTTTATTATACAACAAAATAAAAAAATACGTGTCTAGTATTTCTTCATTACCTAACTTACGGACTAATTAGATTTTTAATTCATACCTTGTCATTATGCCTATCATTATTAGATTAGACCGATTTTATTGTGCATGTGGCAACGGGCGCCACTAAGACAACCAAATGACTACTAGACTAGCCTCTGAGTTCGGCTCCGATTCGAAAAAAGATCGTATTATATACAACTTATTACATAACTGGGGAAAACTTGATCAGTTAGATACAGTAGCCTACCTACTCCACTATATCAATTTTTGTCATTGGATTTTCGATTTTATATCTAAACAATGGAGTTGAAAATCTAATAAATTTTCACAGAAACGAGTATATTGACGTGCCTACTGTACATATTTCTTACATACCTCTAAGGCCTGAGTGCTACCTAACCTACTTCTAATAAGCAATTAAAGTCATGGTTTACTTACAAAATACCCTAATTTTCTTCCAGTGCCTCACTCAAATCAACAAGGAGTCGGAATCAGTGAAGTTGAAGCGTTGTGCGTCATCCGACCAGGGAGACAACTTGCTGGCAGCTTACGGTGACAAGAGCGACTCTGTACAGCGCCCTCTAGGTTTTGTTCCCACCGTTGTTATCAATGAGGTACGTTATTTAAAAATTATATGAAATACGTCCATATAAATTGTCAAACTATACATTTACATTTTTTTTATGGAATAAGCCGAAACACGAGCAAACGGATCACCTGATGGTAAGCAATCGGCGCCGCCCATGAACACTTGAAAGTCTTGAAACACCAGAGGCGATACCAGTGCGTTACCGGCCTTTTGGAAATTGGGAATTTCAAAATTGTGGGGGATTCGGGGATAGGGGAGACTAGGGAGGGGGGAGAGGGGTAATTGGACCTCAGGAAACCGATGTGGTTGTTCCACATCGGTTTTCTGCTCGACCGGTATCACTCCGGTCGAGCCGGCCCATTCGTGCCGAAAGTATGGCTTTCGCACACTTTAATTGTAGTACATTACTTAATACATAAGTATAATAATAATATTATAATTGTGTATTATATTTGTTGCAGAGATTCGACCAAACAGTACAAGATGAAGCCATTGCCGACTTAAAATCGGTCGTGTGTCGCGTCGCACCGAACAAACCTTCCATCTGTTAAACAAAAAAAATTTCTACGCAACAATAAATAAATGAAACTCACTAAACAATCACTACAAATATCAAGTGAACAGCTATCTTTAAATTAAAAAAAATAAGTCGCCATTTTGTCGACCATAGCGTCAGTGTAAAAAAAAAGAAATGGCGGCAATTCTCACGTACAAAAAGTATTTTTAACAAATGTTTTCGAAAATATTACATTGATAATTATAATATTTGATTATCTGTCTGCAAGCTTTATCTTAATTTTTGGTATTAGCAATGAATTTAAATCAGAATATAAAAATTTAAATGTTTTCGTATCTATAAAAAAATATTGCATCGAGGCTTCGGTATACTTTGTCAATATTAGCAACTTCGTAGTAACTTATTGATAAAAACTGCATAATTGTATTAGTTGATAACTAACACAGTATAAGTACAAGTGCACACGAATTTAAAACGTTCAGTCGCAAATATTGAGTGAACTGTAAGACCCCTTTTATGCCGCCATCATACCCGTATACAACGTGAAAACGACTATTAAAGGTCTTGTAGTTCACTCGTAATTGTGGAATGACCGTCAAGAGATTACTTTAAGAGTAGGTTAAGATTAACTAAGTTAAGTGTCAGTTTTAGGTTTAAGCAAAAAGATCTTTGTATTGTATTTTTTATAATAAATTTAGTACTTATTTTTAGTATGTTGTTTTACTATCTAGCCCCCGAAAGCCTATATGTTATTCTAGACCTGAATCTACCCTTATTCCAAATTTCATCGCGATTTCTTCAGCGGTTTTGACGTGGTTGACTAACAAACATACAAGAAACACAATTAAATAAGGATCTAAGACCATTCGTTGATTTGTCCATTGCATTTTAGTTCACCGCTGGACTAAGAACCTCCTCTATATAAGAGAGTTTGTAATTAAAATCGCGGGTTACTCACGTGATTATACTGAGAAAAGCTCGCGGCGACAGGGGTCGCGGCGACGTCGCACGCTGCTCATGAGGAAGAACCCCTCTGTGGTTCGAAACTTAAAGCTTTTCTCAATATATTCACGTGAGTAACCCGCGATTTTTAGTTTAATCTAGCACTTAATGAGGAAAAAACAAAATGTATTAAATTCAGTTTACCAAACGTGCGTAGTAACGATTGTGATATTGTTTTGAACGGTCAAAAGTTAGAATTTGTCGACGAGACAGTATTTTTAGGCATTACGTTAGGCAATAAGCTACAATGGGGTCCGCGTACAAAGGCGCTTTCGGGGAGATTGAGCTCAGCTGCTTTTGCAGTTAGACAGATTAGACAGCTCACGGACGTAGATACAGCTAGGCTTGTCTATTTTAGTTATTTCCACAGCATTATGTCGTACGGCATTTTGTTGTGGGGTCGAGCTGCAGAAATAGAATCAATATTTATTCTACAAAAGCGGGCTATCCGAGCAATATATAACTTACGCCGTTGCGAATCGCTGAGAGAATTATTTAAAACAATAAATATTTTAACGGTGCCCTGTCAATATATATATGAAAATATAATGTATGTAAGGAAAAATAGGCAATTGTTTGAAAAAAGAAGCGATAGACACAATTTTAATACTAGAGGCAAAAATAAGTTAGCTATACCGCAATTCAGACTGTCCAAAGTACAGAAATCCTTTATGGGGTTAGGTATTAAATGCTATAATAAAATACCAAATAGCATACTAGATCTCAATGAAAGTAAATTTAAAACATATATTAAGCGCGAATTATATAATCAAGCCTACTACACACTGACAGATTATCTTGAAGATAAGAATGCTTGGCAGCATGTTGGTTCGGCTCCACTGGACAATACTCAAATGTAGTCAGTAGCTAAATTCCAATAATTTAATACATAATTTAACACTTTTATTCTAATGTAGACAATCTAGTTTCCTTATGTCATCGAGCATTTCTTTATTGAAACAAAGAGTTTCCTTTTCTTGTATAGAAGCACTTATTCTATGGATTGTCAGTATGCACATGTGAGCACCATGTTGGACTTTAAGATTTTTTTTTTTTAATTTTAGTAAGTTATTAGTATAATTCGTCAAGCATGTCTTTGCATTGTTCTTACATATGCGTACAGTATTGAAATATGTATCAGAGACATTGTAGAACATACTTTTTTAAAAAGAGTAACGAACGGAGTTTCTTGCTCGTTCTTCTCCATTCGAATCTACTTTTTGGAATGAGCACCTAGCTTCATCTAGTTTCAATGACGGACTGACTGACAGACTATTATTTATTTTGTATTTGTTGACGTTTCAAAAGTACCAAACTATGGTTTAATTGAAATAAATGCTTTGACTTTGACTTTGAGTATGAAAACGCTTTGTGTTTTAAAATATTTATTTTTAGGCTTATACTATTAATGATAAAGTAAATTATACAATAAAACATGATGTATATACAGTACATATATTTTTTTAAATAATGTTAAAATTTACTTAAAAACTATTCACATCGGCGACGGATCACCTGATGGTGGACAATCGGCGTCGCCCATGGACACCCGGAACACCTGACTGAACCATTACAAATGCATTACCGGACTTTTGAGGACTAGGATTTTTAAGATTGTTAGGGATTCAGGAAGTGGGGAGATTGGGAAGGGGCGAAACGCAACGCAATCGTTGTATCACTCCGGTCGAGCTGGCCCATTAGTGCCGAAGCATGGCTCTCCCACACTTAAATACGTGTCTAATATTTCTTCATTATCTATCTGATATTTTCATACCCCGTCATCATCCCTTAACGCTCGAACACCAAAAGACTACTCTAAGTTGTACTTAATAGAACTATAGTAAAGCGCTAGTTAAAATTGAGTGGCGTTTGAGTATTTGAGGTTTATACTCTTATAACTCTTCGCGAGCCTTCCTTAACTCTAAAATCTCCCTCTGTAACTGAGCTTTTATCAGCTTTTGTTGTTGTAGCTCTCTTTGTATCTCTATTTCTTGGACCTTCATTTCCATTTGATGTTCCATTTCCATCATCATCATCCGTCTTCTCTGCTCGTGCAAGAATTCTTGCTTCATAAAGTTGTCCTTTATCTTACTAAACATGTAGTTCTCATTCTGCTGTAAAAAAGAAACAAAAAGTTCATTAACCGATTTCATGCAGGCTCATTTGTTTATACAAAAGTTGTCTCTAAACATCGTAGATAAGGTCTATAATAGAGTAAATGGACAGCGGTCACCGGTGACCGCTTGGGGGCTCGGCAGAAGTTTATTTGTCAAGTCAAGAGCGTTAACGCGGTTACATTTACGAAGTATCTTCAAAATGTCTTTTAACGATGAAAACAAATGAGCACTCTCAATTCAATATCCCTAAACCGTGGAATTAGTCTATTACACCTTCAACTTTATTGTATTGATATAAAGTCGAAAATACAACGAATAAATTTGACAGAATGGGGCAGGTTGATCTACTGGCCACTGTACCTGCGACGCACGTGTTCATTCTCTGTCAAAGGAACTACACCGGACAATAACAAACAGCGACAAAAACAAATGGCGATATCGGTCCATTCTTTAGTGTGTCATGCGATGGCCAAGACAAGTTGGCAATAGTTTTATTGTATAAAATTATCGACCAATTTTAATCCAGAGTCTATGAAACGAATTGACAGAAATTAAATAGAATTCATATTAAAAATAGATTTTAAACCTAAGATCTTGTATTGAGATCGACGTATTTATTAATTTCGGCTATTTTTTATTGCGTTGTCTTCGAACTAAAGTACTACAGTCATACAAACACGACTTTGACACAACGCGTGGTAATTTTGTCACAGTCATACAGCCGCACTCAAATGATTACATGAACTATGCCTTAGTAACGATTTTATTCTGAAAATAATTGCTAGGGATTGACTCAAAATACCATAAAATGGTTATTATTAGGGTTCTATCTACTATTCACATCAACAGCCTGTAAGTTGCACTGCTGAGCAAAGGTCAAGGTTTGAGCGTTAATCACCACGCTTGCTCAATGCGGGTTGGCGATTTCGAACTTATAAGTGTGTGAGGTACGCAGAGTTTGTTTTTTATTTCGAAAATACGGTGCCTTATATACAAAATCCGATTCAATTATTATTACTTTGTAGGTACACATAAACCATACTAAGTCGAACTTTTGTAATAAGACGGAAAAAGTTTAAATTACCCTACGTACGGTATTATCTGTGAGGGTGATATTCCGTTACAAGTGTAAATTGTAAAGTCCATGTTTCCTCGCCATGTTTTCCTACACTACTTATCTACTAATCATTATTGTAAACTAGCTTCTGACCGCGGCTTCGTCCGCGTTCCCGTGGGATAAAACCTAGTATAACAAACAATCACACAAATGTTCGCATTTGTAATATTATTTAATGCACTTACCTCAACTTCATCTTTGATTCCTACACACCCATTACATTTGTGTTCCATTATTATTTAGTTTTTTAAAACAAAAATGACATAGAAATTGTTTTCTTTTTGGACACAACCAACGCGTCGTACAGGTGCGGGATCACAGCTTTATAGTGTATCATCTGTGATCACAGTACTGAACTGAATGTTTTGAAATTTTGAAATGAAACGAATGGAGTGGTAAGTGAAAGAGTGAGTGAGTGAATGAGTACTGAGTGTAGTGTAGTGATGTGCTAACTCAGAATGAATGGAACCGGAGTTGAAATTCGGGTAACTCAAATCGATTGAACGAATTGAGTGATTCGAGTGAACTGTATGAAACTTTTAAACAAAAAAAAAACTTAAAATACTTGGGCTCGAATCAAATGAAGTTTTTTCTATGGTCTTACTAACTTTCAATCATCAGTGAGGCGATATGCTTCACTTTTTTATTTTTCTAGTTATTTTTAATGAAATGCGTTAGCTGTTTGACGTAAAAAATTGATGACGTCATATGTTGCGATCTCAATACAAGATTCATAGAAAAGTATCGTTTTTGACATTTTAATAAAACTATTGAATTTGACTATAGTACGAGAGCCCA